CTTTGTATTTCTGCAGTGTCAGTTGTTACTTCTCCTTTTTCATTTCTGATTCTGTTGATTTGAGTCTTCTCCCTTTTTTTCTTGATGAGTCTGGCTAATGGTTTATCACTTTTGTCTATCTTCTCAGAGAACCAGCTTTTAGTTTTATTGATCTTTGCTATCATTTCCTTCATTTCTTTTTCATTTATTTCTGATCTGATCTTTATGATTTCTTTCCTTCTGCTAACTTTGGGGTTTTTTTTGTTCTTCTTTCTCTAATTGCTTTAAGTGTAAGGTTATGTTGTTTATTTGAGATGTTTCTTGTTTCCTGAGGTAGGACTGTATTGCTATAAACTTCTCTGTTATAACTGCTTTTGCTGCATCCCATAGGTTTTGGGCCATCATGTTTTCATTGTTTATTTTTTCTAGGTATTTTTTGACTTCCTGTTTGATTTCTTCAGTGATCTCTTGGTTATTTAGTAGAGTATTGTTTAACCTCCATGGGTTTGTATGATTTACAGTTTTTTTTCCTGTAATTGATATTTAGTCTCATAGCATTGTGGTTGGAAAAGATACTTGGTATGATTTCAATTTTCTTAAATTACCAAGGCTTGACTTGTGACCCAAGATATGATCTATCCTGGAGAATGTTCCATGAGCACTTGAGAAAAATGTGTATTCTGTTGTTTTTGGATGGAGTGTCCTATATATATTAAGTCCATCTTGTTTAATGTATCATTTAAAGCTTGTGTTTCCTTATTTATTTTCATTTTGGATGATCTGTCCATTGGTGAAAGTGGGGTGTTAAAAGTCCCCTACTATGAATGTGTTACTGTCGATTTCCCCTTTTATGGCTGTTAGCATTTGCCTTATGTATTGAGGTGCTCCTATTTTGGGTGCATAAATATTTACAATTGTTCTATCTTCTTCTTGGATTGATCCCTTGATCATTATGTAGTGTCCTTCTTTGTCTCTTGTAATAGTCTTTGTTTTAAAGTCTGTTTTGTCTGATATGAGAATTGCTACTCCAGCTTTCTTTTGGTTTCCATTTGCATGGAATATCTTTTTCCTTCCTCTCACTTTCAGTCTGTATGTGTCCCTAGGTCTGAAGTGGGTCTCTTGTAGACAGCATATATATGGGTCTTATTTTTGTATACATTCAGCCAGTCTGTGTCTTTTGGTGGGAGCATTTAATCCATTTACATGTAAGGTAATTATTGAAATGTATGTTCTTATTACCATTTTCTTAATTGTTTTGGGTTTGTTTTTGTAGGTCTTTTCCTTCTCTTGTGTTTCCTGCCTAGAGAAGTTTCTTTAGCGTTTGTTGTAAAGCTGGGTTGGTGGTGCTGAATTCTGTTAACTTTTGCTTATCTGTAAAGGTTTTAATTTCTCCATTGAATCTGAATGAGATCCTTGCTGGGTAGAGAAATCTTGGTTGTAGGTTTTTCCCTTCCATCACTTCAAGTATGTCCTGCCAATCCCTTCTGGCTTGCAGAGTTTCTGCTGAAAGATCAGGTGTTAACCTTATGGGGATTCCCTTATTTATTATTTGTTGCTTTTCCCTTGTTGCTTTTAATATTTTTTCTTTGTATTTAATTTTTGATAGTTTGATAAATATGTGTCTTGGCGTGTTTCTCTTTGGGTTTATCCTGTATGGGACTCTCTGTGCTTCCTGGACTTGATCGACTATTTCCTTTCCCATGTTAGGGAAGTTTTCAACTATAATCTCTTCAAATATTTTCTCAGACCCTTTTTTTTCTCTCCTTCTGCGACCCCTATAATTCGAATGTTGGTGTGTTTAATGTTGTCCCAGAGGTCTCTGAGACTGTCCTCAATTCTTTTCATTCTTTTTTCTTTATTCTGCTCCCTGGCAGTTATTCCACCATTTTATCTTCCAGCTAACTTATCCATCCTTCTGCCTCAGTTATTCTGTTATGGCTTCCTTCTAGAGTATTTTTAATTTTAGTAATTGTGTTGTTCATCACTGTTTGTTTGCTCTTTAGTTCTTCTAGATCCTTGTTAAATATTTCTTGTATTTTCTCCATTCTGTTTCCGAGATTTTGGATCATCTATACTATCATTACCCTGAATTGTTTTTCTGGTAGGTTGCCTATTTTGTCTTCATTTATTTGGTCATGTAGGTTTTTACCTTGCTCCTTCGTATGTAACATATTTTTTTGTTGTTTCTTTTTTTTTTTTTTTTTTTTGATGGGTGGTGCTGTATTCCTGTTTTACTGGTTGTTTGGCTTGAGACATCCAGCACTGGAGTTTGCAGGCAGTTGTATAGAGCTGGGTCTTGGTGCTGAGATGAAGACCTCTGGGAGGCCTCACTCTGATTGATATTCCCTGGGGTCTGAGGTTCTCTGTTAGTCCAGCGGTTTGGACTCAGAGCTCCTTCCACAGGAGCTTGGGCCTGACCTCCTGCCTGGGAACCAAGATCCCGCAAGCTTCATGGCGCAGTAGAAAAAATAAATGAAAGAAAGAAAAACATCTACGAAGGGGGAATGTGCTAAAGACCAAAGGGAAAACTTTAAATTCCATGTAATAGACATATTTTAACTGAGAAGTATATTCAAAAGAGGCCTAATATCATGCTTTTGTGTGTGTGTGTGTGTTGTGTGTAAGTATTTTGTGAATGAGAGAAAACCTTTATTGAAGAAATTCAGTTATTTTGTACAATCAGGTTCAACAGCCAAACACTGGTAGAATGGACCATAGGTTGGCAGAGATAAAGGCTATTTGTATAGAACTCTTGTATTGAAAAGTGTTTGCTTGAAATAATTTCTATCTTGCTTTTGAAGTCATGTTAAAGCCATGAATCTATAAAATATATGTTAAACCTAGAACATTCTCTAGATATTTCACTCTTGTTTGAATGTGTGGAAAGGAGCAAACATGAAATTGAAAGTGAAATGCAAATTTATTTTCATCTGTTTAGCCTGATAATTCATTTTGTATCAGTCACTAATAAACTTGAATTTTAAGGAGTGTCGGGAACTAAACTCAACAGATCTGGGCAATGTTTATTTAACGGCTTTATCTTTGATGTCACAGTAAGCACTAGGGATTTTGAAAAAGGGATGTTCTCTTCTCCTAAGGAAGTAACAGTTGGAGAGAAAGACATAATGACACTGAGGACCAGCCCAGTGACAGTTCCCTCCTTACAAGCAATAATCATGTATGTAATTACAATAATGTGTTTTAGTGCTATGTTGTAAGAAGAGAGATTTTCACAGGGGAGTGGTGGATCCAGTGTGAGACCATGAATGGCTTACCAGCAGAGCTAAAACTTGGGTTGCTTCTGATGAATGAGTGGGTGATGCAGATGCTGTTTGACCCATGCCCACACCATGAGAACCTGTGTTCTACTATTTAACTGAGACACAAGGGGAGGGAGGGAATACGTGCAGGAGAATTTAGGGACCAGGTCCGGAGATGTCACACTTCGATTCTGCCTACATTTTATGGACTACACCTCAGTCACATGGCTCATTTAATTGTAGAGGAGGCTAGAAAAGGTAGTCTAACTATGAACCAGGAGGAAGAGGGAAATGATTGGTTCACAACCCTCTACTCTCTGCCATAGGAAGGTGTGGTGGTCTTATCCTTTGAGCAGTAGGCAGGAACCAGAAATGACAACTCCTGAGAAGTTAATTTGGGTGAGCAGGTCCTTAAGAACAACAGGTGCATTGTTTTTTGGAATGAGAAGTGAGATTATGTTTAAAAATTCCTTAACTATGAAACAGAAACAGACTCACAGCCATAGAGAATAGACTTGTGGTTGCCAAGGGAGAGGGGGTGGGAGAAGGAAGGACTGAGAGTATGGGATTAGCAGAGGCAAACTATTATATATAGAGTGGATAACCAACAAGGACCTACTGTATAGCACAGGGAACTATATTCATTATCTTCTAATAACCTATAATGGAAAAGAATATGAAAAAGAATATATATATATATGTATAACTGAATTACTTTACTGTACACCAGAAACTAACACAACATTGTAAATCAACTATACTTCAACAAAATAAATTTTTTTAAAATTCCTTAAAAATCTTTGCATGTGTCAGTGATTATGATACTTAAGATGTAAGCAGAAATGTTTATTTGATATCTTTAATTTGGGTTGAATTACTACCAAGCCTCAGAAAGTAACACTTAATACTTTGGCACACATGAAATATTTACTGTTTTAAAGGTGAATTTTTACTCATGTATTACTCTATTGTTACTTTCAAACAAAAATCAATGTTTCTTTCTCCTGAAGTTGTATGGAAACTGCTTTTATGGAAGGGGAAATGAAGAATAAGTTTTAAGTTGTCCCATGAGCTCTGTAAGCTTGCCAAGCTAATGGACAACAGTACTAATAATGAAAATTTCCAGTGTTTATTGAGCATGTACCAGACGCTGGGCTTTTCGTGGTGGGATTGGGGAATTGAGAATGGTTCAGCCCTTTAGGTCTATTGATTCATTTAATCCTCACAAAAACCTTATGAATGAAGCAAGTATTTTTATTATCATCTTCACTTCACAGATTAGAAAACTGAGGCACAGAGGGGTAAAATTGTTGGTCCACGCAGTCAGACAGTAGCAGAGCTGGAATTCACATCCAGATAGTCTGACTTCAGAGGCCAAGGTCGTCTGTATGGTTGTCTACCTCTCAGACATGAGAGCCAAACTGGAGGGATGGGGACAAAGGGTGTGCAGTTCATCTGGACATTTGCACTAAAGTAGGCTTGGGGCAGGGTTTGGGGCATCAGCAATGCCTTTGGCCATGACCCTCAGTTTGTAAAACGATGGCAGAATGTATGCATCATGCCTCTTGTTTCCCCTGCCTCTTTATGAAAGCCTAGCCTTTGGAAAACCATTTGTTATTCCACTTCCTGCCCCTGTCCTGGCCCAGGCAGCAAGGGAAGCAGCTCCTGAACTGCCTCGAGCACCGCAGTGCAGGTTGCTGGAGGAGAGGAGGTAATTCTCGTTGTGTTTATGGGTCTGAGCAATTTCTTTTCCTTCTGCAGACAGGACTGTCCTTGTGGATACAGATCTTCCGTCCCTCAGAGGCCTCTATGTGATGGGGACTCTAGAATTCCCTGTGGACAGAAGCAACATTCTGAGCCTGGCGTGCATGCTCATTGCAGGCGGGGAACTGAAAGTCGGTGAGTCAAAGGCAAGGGCACCGGGATTGGGAGGAGGGAGAGGCCTTGGGAGAGGATGGTGTCCTCCAGCAGGATTGCTTGAGGGAGTTTGGGGAGGGCTGAGCCAAGGAGGAAGTTTGCTAGTAAAGCTTCTCCCTGGCAAGCTTTGGACACAGACAGAGGTGATGTTTGTTGGTCACCCCCTCCTGTCCACCCGCTGTCTGCTGCCATCTGGTCCCAGGGTCCTCATACTCATTGCAGGGCTCTTTTTGCCTCCTTCAGGCCACACATCAATTCTCCCTTTAGTTCTTTGTGTGAGAATTTACCCGTGGCTCACTCTTTCAGAAGATCTTGTAGGGTGGATTGGTTATCCTTTGATCAACCAACTCACAGGAAAATTTCAGTTGCTATCTTAGTGCACGTCCTTCAGAGAACAGACCTGAAAGCTAAGCTGTGCGCTCGTGCTATACTGGGGCAGAAATCGCTGTGCAGTGAGAGTGAGTCTCTCGAGGAACCAGGGCTGTTTGCACAGTGTGGGAGATGCAATGGTGCTAGGAGATGAGGGTCCTCCCGCTGGGAAGTGAGGGATGTTGCAGGATGGAGTGGATCTGGGGTGGTCTTTAACCAGGTCTGGTACACTGGCTTACTTAAATAAAAACCCGAGTTGCTCTAGGTAGGCTCTGTACTTGAAACTGTTGTACACAATGATGGGAAGACATGTCCCTTGCCCTTAAAGGAACTACTTTTGAACTCAGAAAGGCATTCTACTTTGCCCCCACAGAGGAGATTAAAAGAGAATTTTCAGAAACAAAAATACCTTATCCCAAAGAAACAATCTCTGATGGTGAGGAAATGTTTAGGTATTGTTGTTCAGTAGCATGCAAATTTTAGACTCTCTGGAAGGAGAGACTTCTAGGCCTAACTACCTGTCCAAAGTTTAAATTACTGCAAGAAGCTTCCTGAAAAATTTTGGTCAAACCTCTTCTTGAATGCTTCCACTGACAGAAAAATCAAAACCTTTTGAGACAACGTGTTCCCACTTTTAAAAAGTCTGTTAGAATTCTTTCCCTTCTTATAGACAAAGTCTATCTATCTTCCTCTAATTTCTGTTGGTTCAGGTTCTTCTGTTTGATCTATTTAGGACGAGTGTCAAACTCTTTCTTTTGATAGCCCTTCATCTACATTTTATTGAATCTTCTCTTTTTCAGGTTATGCAGTTCCTATTATTTTAGCCATATATAAATCGCAGTTATTTTAATCACAGTTATTATTATGATTATATAATTATAGTTATATCATTTTAATCACAGTTATTGATGTTTTAAAATAATTTTTATATTTGCTTCTATTGTGCCACCTGGAAAATACAGAAAAGCAAGTAGAAAGTTATACCGAAGAAATAAAGTAATCACTTATACTCCCAAATGTAAAGATAGATGCAGTTAATGTTTTGTAGCCCTAAAATCATTTTTTTCCTTACACGTGCATGTGTACATGCACACACGTGCTCTAAAACATAGAGTATACAGTCTGATAATCTTCTGAATCCTATACTAACAATATGAGAATTTCCTTAATTCATTCTATTTCCAAGACACAATTTTGATAGCTTTAATATTCCACATCCATGTGAGTCTATACATATACATACCTGCATAATAATTTAGTTAACTGTTTTTCTATTGTTGAACTTCAGGATTATTTCAGGTTTTGATTTTTTTTGTTTTCTTTGTCCTTGTAACTTACTCTGCAATAAACATCTTAGTACTTAAGTCATTATTTACATCTCTGATTATTTTCTTAGGATAGACTTTTATAAGTGGAATTAATGGGCCTAAGGGTAAGTGCATGTGCTTTAAGGTCCTGGATGCATATTGTCAAATTGCTTTTTGGAAAGATTTTACAAATTTGCACTGCCTCCACATTTCTGAGTTATGAGATCCCCTCATGCTTCCTGAAATTGTCACTAAACACACTTGTTTTGTTTAATTCCTCTGAAAGTATGAAGCCAGGGGGAAAGAACTATTCTCCAGATTAAGAGTATAAGCATAAGTCATGACTTATTCTGAACAGAGTGAAATGAATATAGCAGAATTGGGCTATGTTCATGGGCTCTAAGTCAGACAGCCTGGGGTCACATCCAACCTGGTTACCTACTTGATGTTTGGCCTTAAATAAATCAGCCTCTGGATGCCTCCATCACTTCATCTGTAACATATGATAGAACCTACCTCAGAGGGATGCTGAAACCATAAGTATAACAGCTCCTACTAAGTGCTTGGCATATAATAGGTGTTTAATAAATGCTAGTTTATCTGTAAGGGTGCCTGCGGGGAGTACATGTCATACCAACTTGGGCAATTGGAGGAGATTTTAATGAAGGAACCATTTACAAAAATCCAAAAGGCCTGGGGCAAACCCCAGGGCTAGAAACAGGAGAGTATCCTTATCATCCCTTTCCCTAAAGGAGTAAGAGAAGGAGATTGTTAACTGGAATCAGAGATGGAGGTGAATGCCTGAAGATGGTTGTCAGACAGCACCATGAACTTTTGTGTGACTGGGACACACTCAGTACCCAGAAGGACCTCTGGGAGTCAATACCCACATCTTACTCTCTGTCCTCCCTCATCTCCTGCTCATGCTACCATTTAGCCAAACCCAACCAGAACTCTGAGTAAAGGAAGATTCACTGATGTCCTGTGTCCAGGACAGCTGTGTCCCGGGGCAGTGAGCAAAGGAGGGCAGAGTTTGGAAATGAAGCGTCAGTGGGCGCTCTCCACCACAGATACGGTTTTTCTTTTAAAACAGCCAAAGATTCAACTTCATCCAGCTGATTATGCCAACTACTTCATCAACTCTAATTCCTTCTCTTTTTGCATATGCTGCCTCAAATACATATCTCTACATTGTACACTTGTATAAGAATTATTTTGTTTTCACTTGGGTTTTAGGGAGACCTAAGTGCAATATTCTTTACTTATGTCTTTTTTTAATTATTTCAATCCATCTTTCCACAGTGAGGAAATCCTTTTGGCTTCTGCTTTTTTCCTCCCAGATTAATATCACTTGCTCATTTGTTTAATATTCTATAAAATTCTCATCCAGTTAACTGATAGAAATAGTCAATAAAATTGAGCCTTGTTCTTGTTACTACAAAACTTATTTCAGGTTGGCATCTTCTATTGCTAAGAGTGGTCTTTTTTTGTAAGTTTTTTAGGTTTCTGAGGTCACTTATTACTATAATTCAAACTTGTTGCTTGTGAAAATCTGCACCTTCGAAGGGAAGTGACACAATGCCACTTTCCAGTTTTGATTTATACACTTCAAATCTTACTTTTAATTGTGTCCATTACCAACTGTATTTTTATCTATTACTAGACATGGTATGTTCTTTTTCTCTCTGCTTGTCCATGTGTTCCAGGCTTTAAGGCTGATTATCTGAAAGGAACCCATCTGCCCAATCCTATCTGTATGATGCCTGAAGGAAGACTTTCAACCCATCTGTCCCATTCTACCACACCCTAAAGAAATCCCAACATGAAATAGATAATAAGACTAGTTAGCAAATAAATCTAATAGATGTGGACATTGGCACAGAGCACTGCCAGAGTCTGTCTGCTATCTGATGCCATTTGATCCAAGTCCCAACATTGTGGAATTATATTTCTTGGTGGTCCTGCTTTTAAGGCAACTGGTGCTGGCAAAAGGTATCAATTGACTTTTAGTAGAGTGGAATCATAATGCTAGCGTTAGAAAGGAAGTTTAAGATCAAAGCTTTGCTTAGAGGGCTGCAGCTGTATCACAAATGCCAAATTCAGTTTCACTCTTTGTTCAGTGGTTGTTTCATTAGTCTGATAAAACACTTAAGATAAGCTTAAGGTATTTCACTTGTTTGTCCATACTTTCATTCATCATGTTTTTTGCTCATTGCCTACCACGTGCCAAGTACCACAGGAGAGGTTGATGTACAGAAATAGAAGTCATGAACCTAGCTTTCAAGAGATGTCTCAATAAAGCCGTGGAGACAAACAAATGAAAACATAATTGGAAGTGTCACCTCCTCCAATGCGGAGGGGGATTAAAGATAAAAGAAGAGATCGGAAAAGGCACATATTTGTGGATGAGCATTATACCTTCAGGAAACTGTAGGGAATGGGTAGGCCTGGACTGTAGGATTTATAGAATGGTGGTAGCTGATGAAGCTTCTTGGCCTTATGCATTATGTTACGGAGTCTGGGTTTTATCATGAAGGCAGTGCACAGTCACTGGGTGGTTTTAAGCAGGGACGTGACATGATTAGATCTGGTCTTAGAGTGATCGCTCTTGGCAGTGTGGGGCATGTGTTGGAAGGGGCACAGTGAAAAGCGAGAAGGCTACGAGGTGTTTCAGAAAAGAAATTGTAAAAGATTGAACTAAGGCACTGGAGTTAAAGGGGAAGAATGAATTAGGGAAGTACTGAGGAGGTAAAAAATCACTAGAACTGCGTGGCACTTTTGATGTGAGGAGGGGAGTTGGTTAGGATACATCTTAGGGTTCAGGTTGGGAGATCTGGGTCCACGGCGGTGCCAGGACAGAACCTCCTGCCCACCACATTTTAGTTGAGTGACTCTGGTAAATTAATGAGCTTTCTCTTTCTAAAATGGGAGCAATAATAATCATGCTTATTTTATAGAGTTTTATAAAAATTAAGTGAATTAATATTTATTAAAGTGCTTGAATAGTATCAGCCACTTAGTGAGCCTGTACAGTGGTTTGTTGATTCCATAGATCCACATTTGTCAAGTTGAGGTTTCAGTGGGATGTGTAAGTGGTAACATGTAGAGGGCAAATAGATTTATGAGAAAGCACAGGAGAGAGGACTGTGCTAACTATGTATGGGTCATCAGCCAAAATGTGCCATCAAAGCTGTGAGATAGAGAAGAAAAAATGACCAGTGCTGAAATTTTGGCAAAAACCAACCTTTTAAGGTAATGGAGGGAGCTGAGTTCAGGAAGGAGAACGGAAAAGAAACAGCTATGAAG